CATTTGATTCTCCATTATTGGCCTCCAATCATCGCCAGCAGCGCTCCAGAAAGCCATGGTTGAAGGCATAGGGAAATTTGGAAAAGCCCTTTTGAAATCCCTTGTTTGGAACTTTGGAAAACATGTAGCTACGTATTGACGCCATGGAAGCCCCCTATCAAGCTCTGAAAATTCATTTGGTTGAAGAGGAGGCCCGTCTTCTTTTCAGGACCCTTAATCGAGTCCTGTCTGACAAAGGCACTCAAGCATCATGGCCAATACTTGTCCCCCATTTCTTGCATGATGGGAGCCGACAAGCTGGGCGGGCACATGCAGCGAACTCCACGCCGCACGCCAGCCGGACACCAATACAGAAGTGGTACCATCATGAAACCTGCTCACAGGCTCTGTTCGAAACATGAACTGTCAGAAGAGTCAAGACAAACACAAGCACCAAAAATGGTTTGTGCGCATCTGCCCCGACAAGGCTAAACAAAGTCTGCTCCACCTTTACTTACACCGCGCTGCTCTTTTGCACACGAATTGCGGCAGGTGCGAAACGTCTCACTGCTTGATTTACAGAGAAGCACGCACTAAGTGAAAGTCTGGCTTCGAGCAAAATTCTCACACAGAATGTCTATTGCTCTCTGGGCAGAAGGATTCGCTGAAAGAAGACAAAAACTCTTCATGTCGAACGGCAGACTTCTATCTTTAAACTGCTGCTTCACAGGACACAGCTCATGAGTGCCAAACAGCTCAGCCAAGAAGCGAACCAGACTACTCTTGCCGTGGAAACAACGCATTGCGGTCCAACCTTCAATTAGCAAAGCTCCTTGGCACATCTTGCTCTGTATTGCTATGTGCCGCAGCGACTTTGTATGAACGCATTCAACCTGATGCTGACGCGGCTGACGCAGCTGGACGCAGAAAGGCGTTACAAAAGCGTGACTGCTTTACATGCTGAACTGTTTCATTAGCATGTCAGCGTCCAGCACTCACTGAATGCGCAGTCTTCCCTCAGCAAGCCCATAGGTCTCGCCTCGCACTTGCAAAACCTGCACAGCATCGAGCAAAGCAAGTCCACGTTCTATCCGGGTGTCATGACATGCACCTGAATCTGACCACATCAGGCTCCATCGTGCTACTTCTGGGGTTTAGCCAGAACTTGAATGCGCTTGATTTTGGTATATCTTGGTTGGTGAGCATACATGAGGGCCTGCAGAAACCTCATCGGCTCTCTCCTTCCGACCTTGGATGAAGCTACAAGCAGCCAAGTGAAAATGGTCTTCGACGGAGGGAACGATTCTTCAATTGCAGGAGCTCAGCAATGCTGAAGTGGCCACGTTTGACAGGAACATCTGACGTGCAATGCCGACAGCTTCGATTTAACTGACTGCAGCTGCAGGGCCTGTAGCCACCACCACTTGGGTGTTTTGTAGCCTGGACAGGCAGTTCTGGTGTTCTGGAGTATCAACACTTTGTCAGGAAGGCTGAAACAGCTTCATGTTCAAGCGCGAGGGTCGTAGCTACAGGCCCAACCAAAGGGTAAACAGACCAAAGCCCTTCTCCACTTCAGACTGCTCTACAGCTGGTGATACGGCTAGATCTCAAGAAGACACATATCCAACTAGCTGCCTCAGCAGCTGCAATTGCTGCGAGGATGCGTTCTCTTTCCTCCGGCGAACACTCCTGCGGAAAGTCCAACGTGACAGGAAGGCCGAAGCTCCGTGGGTAGCCAACCACAAACAATCAAGAGCACTTCTGGATTTGTCTCGGTTTGTCTGCAGCATGATTCCTATCTGGTTGCACATGAGCGCCATCAGCACAGCAGAAACTTGCGACAAATGACTCAAGCAATCCTGGCCTATTGCATTTGCCGGCTTTCCGTGAAACATAATGTGATTGCAATGTTCTCCTGCAATGCCTTCTGCAATTCTTCCGCGCTAGTGGTCTTCACCGCAGCGGCCAATTCTGCAAGTTCTGTTCCAGCCATCGCGTCACAGCTTTTGCTGACCCGAACTGTAAAGTGCTGGAAGATGACACAAAATCAAACTTGAGCCAACCAACCCGGCAGCGCGATTCATTGAGAGGTACAAATTAGGATGATACAGAAGCATGCACAACCGGCACATATCTGGATATCACAGCCAGCAGCCGTCCGCCATGCATGCACTCCCACTGTTGGCATCAGTGGAAGTGGTTCAAGGTGCCCAGACTCATGAGGCCGCATGGAGCCCGGTAGAATATACTCCTTCTCAAGCCTATGTCACAACCGCAAATCCCCGCAAAATCCGCAGGCGAATGTTTCTGCTGCACGCTCCGCTTGGTGCCGCGTGACTTGTCTTCTGCTTTGTAAGGCTCAGTCATCTTCAAAGCCTGGCGCACAACGCACCTAGAAGATTCCATCAACCCATATTTGTGTGAATCTCCTGAAAGACTACAAGAGAGATCCCAGTATGTTGATTGCTATGAGCGTGACCGTCGTAACCCATGTTCTCAAGCACCTGCGAGCTGACTCACAGGAAAACAATCCATTGTACCCGCAAGGTGCTACATGATAACAGCTGGTCTTCATGTGGTGAGAACACGCGCAGACGCCCCAAGTCCCTCACAAAGCACTCTCAGGGCCTGGACGAACCGTGCAGTGGAAACCCGGTTTGTACGCGGTGAGATTTGGACTTCAGTATGTTAATTTGTGTGGAAATGCGCCGGGAAAACTTGAGAACGCAAAATTGAAAGGCCTTCTGCACTCTCAGGACTCATCCAGAAGGTGACCAGCGGCCTTTCCGTCTTCATATGTCTTGATGATGATCTATGGCGATTGGACGATCTGTTCGTTCTGGCACGCAAAAATGCCTACATGCTGCCAGTTGCGTCATGCATTCGCTGCTTTAGAGAAGCGAGGAGGCTGCGGGCAGTGCATTTTCCTCCCAGGGTATTTCCTCGCACTTGCAAATGCACGATGATGGGAAGCAAGCACACCCGGCTTTAAAGAAGCGCGGGGGCTGGTGGGGGCGCAGCCCCCATCTGCAACACATGATGATTGGAAGATCCGTCTTTTGTGGCCGACCACATCAGGACAGAGCCACGCATTTGCAAAATTAAACTGGACCCAAAACCGAACAACCGAATCCCCAGGCTACAAAACAAACTCGAGATACTGGCCCTGAGGCCCAGGAGTAACATCTCCATAGTCCATCTTTCATCCCGACATGCATCGAAACATCGTTCCGTCCATCCACGACTACTATTCTTATTGCTACCAGTATTACAACCATTATTGCTATGACTATGTTCACAATTTCAAGCGAACCCATGCCAGGCCTGGAGGTGCTCGACCTTTGCGGCCAAGTCCTGCCCGAGCAAAGGCTAGTGCAGGCTGGAATTGGGCAGCGTGACGGTATGCGCATGCTCTGCAATAGTTTCAGGCAGAAATTTCATCAACAATCCGCAGTCAGCTCAGGCTTGCAAGCAGGCGAGAATGTCAATACACATTGCCAGAGTCAAAAGAATGCGGGGATGCGACAGTGTGGAAATTCGAGCACAAGCCCCGCAACCCAAAGCTCCAAATCCGGCCTCCAGCTGAGCTCCGTACTCTTGGCGGGTCTGCACACCAGTTTCCAGGGTTTGGCATTTCGCTACAGGGTGGGATGTTCTGTCTTTCTAGAGACTGGTCCAGAATCTAAGGCTTTGCTTGTCAACAGCTTCCCTGGGATGATCATCTATGGGCTATGAACAGGCGTTGTTTGGCTCAAAATCCGCCACGCGAGCTCACTTCTGTCGCTGCTTACAA